CCCCCCACTGTTGTTGTTATTATAAACACGATGGGTCCAATCAAAGTTAAATCCCACAACCACCACCAACCACAACCTCTCGCTCACGGCTAGCTTGCGCTCTACGGAACTACTTTTTGTCCACATGTAGAAAACTGAGTGCGCAGTTAGGCTAGGCACGCGTAGTAATCTGTCCATGTTTCTCAGTCTGTGAGATCAGTGATGTGCATGATTTTAGACATATAATTTTATAAAGACTCTATCAGATTTATGTTTATTATGACTTTGTCTTTAAAGCTATATTGTGTTGCCTTCACAGATGCATCATGACACGGCTGTTGCTATTGCCTAGGTGTTAGATCTGTGTTCAGTGGGATTTAGTCGTGCATTGCGGATCAGAGGCGAAACCTGAGTTACAGCTTTATTTAGCCACAGCTGCTGAAGTCGGACAAAGAACTCATTTGGAATTTACTTTTATCTGATATGAGCAAAGTCTTTGAGATGGGCCACACTGGCTGTTGTATCGGCGGCTGGCAGCAGTTGCCTTAACGCTCGGGATGAGCGCCTCGGAGGGAAAAGAGATGTCCAAAAAACCAACGAGCGAGGCGAAGCGGATAGTGCAGAATGACCAGGAGAAGCAAAGGAAGGAGAAGATCAAGACCTGCATTAGCGAGATAGCCAAAGAGCTACCGCCTAGCTCGGAGCACCTGGACAGAAAGCCGGTAAGTTACTCAGTTACACTCAGCAGACTGCTCCAAAATTCGAGAGATATTCCTCTTTTTTAGAAATAAAATTTTGCTTTCTCATTTTAACATATTTTATAATGTATTCCTGCTTTTTGCAACAGGGTCAAGTGTGAATGATAGAGTTCTAGATTGGAATTATTTTAACTTTTTTGGGGGATTGTTGTCTCTGGCAACTGAGGACACTGGAAATGCTTTAAATTTCTTTATGGTGGAAGTACCTGTTTTCTTTTACCCTAAACTGACATTTTTTAGAGTCACATTAAGTGATCTGTTATAAATTGTGGCCATGGGCATGTTTCTCTGTTAAATTGATGGCAGGACAGTTCAGAATTTTAGTGTAATGTTTGGGTTTTACTAAGTTTAAATAGTATTATCTTCTGGGTAACTAAAACTCCTATTTTCAAATAACATATATATATCTCTTTGTGGTTCAGGAGGGTACTGATTTATTATCAGATATAAAAAAACAACTTTGATTTATGTATCGACTGATTGTGCTCCTTAAAAAACAGAGATAAAAATCACAGATTTCTTTCAGGCGCATACTTTTTTGTTTTCTTTTTTGACAGAGCACGTTATCGATTGTTTCTCAAGCCAAAGAATTCATCAAAAAGCTCAAGGTACAGAACCATGCCTACGAAGGTAACCTGGCCTCTGAAGAACAACGTGAGTCTGTGTATATTGTATGAATTTTTTTGCATCCCGTGGAGGTATATTATCATAAATGTTATTGGTTCTTTTGTTGTGGATCTGTGTGGGTTTGACTTTTCGATGCTAGAATAGTAGTTGGAAAAAAAAAATAATGACTGTTTATTAGGTTAATGACAAAATAATGATAGGTTTCATCAGTATGGTGTATTTAATTGTACTGGGGGGGGATGAAATCCAACATTCTTTGGAAAATGTGATTTAGAGTCTACTAAGTGAGAATGAAGAATGATATTTGTGTCTGATGTCCTCCCATTTTTCCAAGATATTATAACAAAGTTCCTCTATCTGTTAAGCTTACACTTCAATCTTGCATATCTTTTGTTTTTTATATATCATTTCTCTTGGTCGAGAATCCTGACAGAGGAGGAAGAGAGTATAGTTTTAAAATTCTTCAATGACAATTTTGATAACATTCCAATTTACGGACCAAAAGCTTGTCAATTGAACCAATGTTTTGATTTTTCGTGTGACAGAGGAGGAGATCAAGAGACTGCGGGAAGCTCAGGTGTCCAGCTTGGAGACCATTCGTCTGCTGGAAGAGAAACTCAAGGCTTATGGTGAGTGCTCCTTTTACTTTTGTGTCCTCTTTCTTTTTACAGTACTTTTATGACTTTCTTTTCCTTACTCAGTTCATTTTGTTAGAGGATAAATATCTTCCTGCAATAGATTTCTGGCAGCTAACTGTTTTTGGGTGCTAAAGTGAGTTGGATTGGTGGGTGGAGAGCGTCACTGAATCACTGGTACTCGTGAATGCTTTTTCTATTCTGTACTGTCTGTTTGTTTCTGTCTATCTCGATCTGTCATTATACCTTTCTTTTGCGCTAAGGGATCGTTGTCAGGTTGATGTGCCTCTCTTGACCTTGAGTTAACAGCTGAACCTGTCCAAAACGAACACTCTTTGTTGAGGAGAAAAGTGGTCATCTTAGACAGGTAGTGTGAAGAGCATACTTGTAAGTTTTTGTTGTGGATGGGTGGGTGAGTTGAGCTTTCTTTCCTATCAAATGACTATCATCTTTTTCCTCTCCTCATTGTTTTCTTGGATGCTGCTTTCTAGTAACACCTCTAGTCTCTGGCACTTATATGACCTGTTTGTGTTTCAGGTGCTGTCTGTAAAACGCTTTACTAAAACTTAAAGTTTTCTTTTTTATTTACTTTGTGTGCAATTCTTTCAGCCCTTGAGAAAGTGTTGCAACCCAAATCGAGTGAGGACAACGCCTCTGTCAGCCATGATGACGGGGCGGCCAGAGGGCGGGCCAACCGCCCCAAGACCATCAACAGACTCTTTGTGGAGAAAGAGAGAAACGAAATGCAGCAGGTAATGTAACTGTCAGTGTGAAACTGTTGCACCTGAACTGTTTGAGGTGCCTGGATTGATTTCTGTGATAGAAATGTTGGAGGTTGTTTGTTTGAGTTTTTTGTTTGTTTAAGTAACGCATCTTGTCTTGAGCACTTAACGAGTATTAATGTTCTTGCAAGTGCTGTAAAACTCTTGCTAAAAAACTAGAATTTTAGTAGTGTTTGAAAATGGCTTGTTACCCTCCCAAGTGGGTGGTTGATGGACAATGTGGTGTGGCTTGCTTCTTTTATTTCTTCTCAGTAATGTCATTATTCCCTGTGCCGGTGAAATCTTTGTGTTTGTCCTGTTGACCTGCTGTGAACGATAGCATGACAAGGATTTATCAATCTTTTACAGGCCCAGCCAGACGGCCAGGCAGACCTGTCTTTCCAAGGAGGAGCGGTCCCCATCATGGGTACGAGCTTCAGTCACCACGGCAACAACAGTGGTGGTGCAGGAGGTAGCGGGGGTTCGCTCCCCCCGTCGTCCATGGTCCTCCCGGTGGTCTCCTCCAGCATCTCCATCATGACGGTGGCTCCGACCATCCTGTCGGTGAAGAGTCCGTCGCTGGGCCAGGCTTCGTCGTCGCGGCACCACCAGCAGGCCAGCGGCGGGGCGCGCCCGGTCAGCGCCGCCTCCCTCTCCACCACGGTGGTCAGCAGCACGGTCAGCTCCGGCCGCCTGGCGTCGGTGGTGGCGTCGGGCGGCGTGTCCTACATGGATCTCATGTCGGGGGATTTCTCCGGTGGAGGAAGCGGAGGGGTGATTGGCGGGGGCGGGGGTGCCTCGCTCGACGGTTCTCAAGGGAGCTTATCGGTTTCTAGCTCCTCGGCTGTTGTTGATCCTGCTACTGGACTAGTGAGCATTCAGCAGCAGCAGCAGCTTCAGCTTCAGACAAGTATTAGTAACAATAACAACAACAACAACGGTGGTGGTGGTGGTGGCAGCGGTAGTGGTGGGGTTCAAACCGGGGACCTCTCACTCCTCCACCAGCAGGGCTTGTCCGGCTACAGCCAGCAGCAAGGCGACCCCGGTGCCACTTCGGCCCTGCAGACGCTGGCCTCTGTTGCCACAAGCAACCACCTGGGAGGACTCTCTGGTCTGGGTGGTGCCTCAACGGCGCCAGGTCAGACTCTGGGAAACATTGCCGGTATTTCTGTTGGTATCGGCAACAGCATCTCCCTGGGGCAGCAGCAACAACAACAGCAACAGCAACAGCAACAACAACAGCAGCCCATTTTGTCTGTGTCTCAGTCGGACAATGCTGCCCAGGTAACCTCACCAATGAGTTTAGAAATGTTCTTGTGTTTTCACTTGTTCCTACAATGAAAGAAGAAAAATGTGTCCTTTCAAGCCTGCCTGCAGGTGTTTTTCTCTCATGCACATTACTGACAAACCCACAAACAAACTCGCACAACTTACTGGAGACCATCACTAATTAAACAACCAATCACTTCCCACTGCCTCCCCTTGCTTTTATTTTTTTTCTCATATTATAATAACACTGTGGAAGAGGTTCACATGTCTAAGATGACCGCTTTTCACCTCAATATTGGGTTGTTGTGTAGGTAATTTCATTTTATCACAACTTTTTGCCGGATAAAAAGGGATTGAAATGAAGATTTCCAAACATATAGATTTTCAACAGATGCCGTTTTCTTCAATTGTAACATGTCTGTTTTCGTTTCATAATAATAAATTGTACAAACTCAGTCTAAAAATGAAACGCATCAATGTCCATAGGGGCTAAAATATAGAAGTAACTCATTTCGTCAGCACACCCCACATATCGACTGCTAAGTTTGAGACGCCCCCTCGCGCCATTTTGAAAAGTGAAATATAACTGAGTCTTAGGGTAGACCCACACCGGTGTCGGGCCCGGCGGTCAGACCGGACCATTTTCCGGCACAAAAGAATGGACGCCGGCAGAACAGTAAGGACAGGTAATAAAAAACGACAACCCGCCCACACCAAAACCCGACGTCCCGGACCAGACGGTTTAAGAATGAACTTGTTCATTCCACGCCGCCCGTCGGGCGAAAGGGGGGTAATTTTCGTAGACTTTGCCTCTATAAATTCGGTCCCCTCTCCTGCCATAGTCTGTTGGTTTTTGTCTTGAGAGTGTTTTGCGGCGCTCGCCGTGATGATAACAGACGATAGAACATGAGAGCAGGAAAGGAGGCAAAAGGAGAAAATTTTAAAACAGAACATTTTCCATTGCTGTCAAGTTTCGAGCCCGGGACCTGTTGAATGAGAGGCGAACAACGTAACCCCTAGGC